CAGTCTTCACTTTGTGTGTGTGTGTAGGGGGAGTGACACATTTCCCATGGGCTATAGTGGGTGTTTTAGCTAGGTTTTATATGGCAGTCATAAAACATCATAACCAAAGCAACTTGGGGAGGAAACTCTTAAAGCTCTCACACTCTGTCGCTGAGGGAACTCAAGGCAGGAACTGGGACAGAGCCACGAAGGCGTGCTGCTGACTGGCTTGTTCCCCCTGGATTATTTGGACAGCGTTCTTTCTTTCTTTTTTTAGATTTGTTTATTTATTATGTAGTGTTCTGCCTGCATGTACACCTGCCTGCCAGAAGAGGGCACCAGATCTCATTACAGACAGTTGTGAGCCTCCATGTGGTTGCTGGGAATTGAATTCAGGTCCTCTGGAAGAGCAGCCAGTGCTCTTAACCTCTGAGCCATCTCTCCAGCCCCAGACAGATGTCTTATACAACCTGCCCAGGGTGGCACCATTCACCCACATGAGTTGTTAAGAAAATGCCCTCAGGCCAATCTTGTAGAGACACTGTGGTTCCCTCTTCTCAGGAAACTCTAGCTGTGCCAAGCCGATAAACACTCACCAGCACAGGCCTACTTTAAAGTTCAGGTCCTCCAACCACGCTGTGTGTTTTCTGAGAAGGCCCACATCCTGAAAACCAGTAGGGCTCCCAGATACTCAAGTCACCCTGGAGAGTCCAGGCTTAGGGCTCTGTTCCAGGAAACAGGGACTGAAACCAAATACACATATCTCATTATATCACAGAATCACAGACAACCCAATTCAGAAGTCGGCAAAGGAGTTGGACAAATTTACGAAGGATATACACAGACGGCAAATCATCACAAAAGCCCGACCCCAGTGACATACCTCCTCCAAAAGGCCACGTCTCCCCCGAACTGTTCCACCAAGCACTCAAACTCATGGCGCCATTTTCACGCAAACCACCCCAGCGTCGTTTGAGGAGGTTTCAGAACAGCTGGATGCCCTTTAACCACTGAAACAAGCAAACTGAAAACAGGATACTACAACCACACACCCATTACAGCAGCTGGATGCTCTCTGCACAGCAACAGGCCTCTCGTACACTGCTAAAACAACGCGTTTTCGTACATAGCCGAACACCATCTTCCCAAACAACTCAACAGTCACATTCCTAAGTAAGCATGTCCATACATTGAACACAAATATAGAGAGAGGGCTTAGGCACGATCAACAAAAACCAGAAGCAATCAAAATGTCCTTCAAAGGATAACAATAAGATAATAATAATAAGAGGAATGTATAAATCAGTTGTGGTATAGCATACAATGGAATATCACTTGGCAATAAAAAGAAATGAATCATTAAGTCATGAGAGACATGAAGGAATTTTACATGCATATTATTAAGTAAAAGGACCCAACCTAAAAAGAATGTACACCATGTGGTTCCAATTCTGTGACATTCCAAACGAGATGGATCAGCAGTAAAAGTATACGAGGCCAACCTGGTCTACAAGGGCTAGTTCAGGACAGGCTCCAAAGCTACAAAGAAACCCTGTCTCGAAAAACAAACAAACAAACAAACAAACAAAAAAAGCATATGTGACAACCTGACTTCTATCCCTGGAGCCTATGGTGGAAGAGAATCGGGTCCTGAAAGTTGTCCTCTGACCTCCACACATAAACACACACAATAAACAAAGTAAACGTGAAAACTCTCGAGTGGAGGATACAGACTCTGAAAAAGCACTAACTGTCACAAATGTGCACAAGGGCTGAAGGTAAGGTGCTGACCCAAGTGGAGCCCTTAAGGGAGAGAAAATGGGCACCGTCCTCTAGGGGACGGGCTTCTTCGGATCCCATGAAGTGTGGTGACAGTTCTGTAAATGCCCGCCTGTAAATGCCCGCCTGTAAATGCCCGCCGAGTTGAACAATCAGGTGAATGCATGGCAGACAGCGGGAGCCCTGTTTCTAACGCAGGAGTGGGGTTTACAAACAAGCTCGGGAAGTTGTAGACTGGTCCTTTACCAATGCATTAGAGCTGGAGACGTTGTAAGAGCTCATGTGTGGTTTGACAAATGTTTACAAATGTTTCTGTATAACAGTTTTCTGTTTTGTTTTTGTTTTTGAAGATAGGGTTTCTTTGTGTAGCCTTGGCTGTCCTACCTCTGTAGACCAGGTTGGTCTCGAACTCACAGAGAGTTATCTGTCTTTACCTCCCAAGTGCTGGGATTAAAGGAGTGTACCACCAGCTTCTATATATTAATTTTTATAGGTTATATGTGTGTGTGTGTGGTATATATGTGTGTTTGTGTGTATTTGTGCTTCTCTCTGTGTGTGTGTTTGCATGTGTGTGGTATGTGTCTGTGGTGTGTGTGATATATGTGTGGTATATGTGTGATGTGTGTGTATGTGTGTGGTGGATGTGGGATACCCCTCTGTATGCTATGAATATGTTTTATTACCATTGGTTAATAAAGAAGCTGCTTTGGCCTATGGCAGGGCAGATTATAGCTAGGTGGGAAGTCCAAATAGAAAGAGGAAGAAAGAAGTCAGAGTTAGAGATGCCAGCAACCACTGGAGAAGCAAGATGTGAGGTAATAAGCTATGAGTCTCGTGGTAAAATATAGACTAATAGAAAAGAGTTCATTTAAGTTGCAAGAGCTAGCTAGTAATAAGTCAGAGCTAATAGGCCAAACAGTTTATAACTAATATTAAGTCTCAGAGTGGTTATGTGGGAACTGGCAGGCGGGCAGGAGAGAAACTTCCAGTTACAGTGTGGTGTATGTGTGGGGTGTGTGTGTGTGTATGGTACGATGTGTGTGCATGGTACGATGTGTGTGCGTGGTACGATGTGTGTGTGTGGTACGATGTGTGTGTGTGTATGGTACAATGTGTGTGTAGGGTACGATGTGTGTGTATGGTACGATGTGTGTGTATGGTACAATGTGTGTGT